GCCCCAGGTGGATCAGTCTAATCATTTCAAATGCTACACGATGAGACGTGAGCCCTAGCGTCAGAGTTACATAAGAGATCAAATTATCAGTGATAGATGATAGATCAATATTAAGGTGAATTAACAATGGTTGGACAAGAGTCACAAGTTTAGGTCGTCATTCTTAAGATAAACTGTAATGAAGAAGCATTAAAGGACATAGATTTATACATATAGGATAAGCAACGAGAGTAACCTGGAGTTTGGTAGCAGGCCTCGGTAATGATAAATCAAAGCAAGAGTTATGGCAGTAAAGTCATACGGATGGATGAATGGATCTATGAAATAAGGTATAACAATATTCGTAAGTTCAACTAAGCACCGAGCAAAGAACTTCAATATACCTATAGATACCTAGAGGGACATCTTGTCAAGCTCTATAGGTATTTACAAAGTGAGGCCTAGATATGGGCTAGAAGTTGGAGGAAAAATGAGAGAAGAGTCGCATAGGCACACTTACAAGGCCAGAGTCTTTCAGGCTGCATGATAGAAGGTAACAACAGTTTCAAGATTGGAAGGATTCCAACCATAAGCCATGGTATGAGAAAGAGACATAGAGGGGGAAATGTCCTGACCTTTGGAATTATTCACAGAATAGTTGCCTAGATGGCAAGGAGAGTACTAAAGTATTCGAAAGGTATAAGTCATGAAAATAATAAGTGCATTAGTCAACATTCGAGGACGAATGTTCCAAAAGGGGTAATGATGTTACACCCCATATTTTCATACACGAAAGTACGCCATAAATAAATTGATGGAAGCTCAGAAATGAGATGTTACCTACTGCATTTTTGTATGTTAAAGTTTCGACATAAGTTAATCGACGTAAGTTCAGGAATGAGATTATTTTTGAGATTATAAGAATTATGATATTTCAAACAAGTGATGAGTAAGTTCGTGAAGGTGAGAGGGTAAGCAAGTCAAAGAAAGTGAATTTCATCGGATTTTGACAATTTGGGATAAAATATGACCCGAGCTAAAATACCTGATATTTATGGACTAGTGTCATACAAGGTACCACATGACCATGATAGTAAGGTTTATAAGGTATGTTAAAAGTGAGTAAGTATTTTAAGTAATTGAGATAATCTGTATTCATGTGAATTATTGGATAATGGGGGAATTAACAAGTTAATTAATAATTAATAATTAATGGTTAATTAATTGAAGTTTTTGGATAAAGACAAAGCCGAAAAAAACATGGCAGCCCCTACATGAGTCATTATGTGACTCTTGCATAACTTTGCAAGGTGTCAATCCGTAAAGAAATATCTTACTAATTGCTCACATCCATGTTATATGATTGCTTGTGCAAAATGTGTGAAGTGCAAGTCAATAATCTATTTGTAAACAGTACGACCTTATAAATGAACACAATCTTCTTACAATACCATCTTCAACATAAACCTTTTCCCAAATATAGATAAGCTAGTAATTTAGCAGTTGGCAGAAAGTGTGTATAAAACAAAAATCATAGTGTCATGCAGAATGATAGCAAAAAAACTTATCTGATAAAATGAGCTCTGTATCAGCGGAATTGGAGAACCATCAAAATGACCAGTGACTCAATCATAGCGAATTTCAGTAATTCGACGATGAGCTCCCTTAATTAGGTACATGTAGCATATCGACCTTTGACATCGCACAAGGTTGAGATCAATTCACAAGTGATTATACGAATTTTTTCCTACTTTGATCTTGCCGTCACGAGTTTTGTCGCAATTGTCGTATGTTAGAAGGATTGTCCAGAGAATTGACTCAGGTATATTAAGATTATCCCTTATTTCTTTTGGCATGATCTATACGACATCAACGAAATGAGAGAATATACAACTTTCATAAATGACTCTATTAAATTAGAGATGCCTATGTTCTTGAATTTTCATATGTCATATTATTCTATCATCTTTTCATGGGTCTCAAAAAAATACGTAAGTTGAAAAAAAAGTTTACTTCATGATATTACTCGAAGGCATAATGGTCTTATGACACTCCAAGAGATTTTATTGACGTACTTCTCATGCATTGCATTCATGTACATTGACCCATGACCAGATGACACCATATATACGTATATATGTGTATACGGGATACGGAAAAAGGTTATGGCATTATATACGCACCACCACCTGATCAACTGGTATACGTTGATGATTTGCCCACAGTGGCCGAGATGATATGATGGGATGCACTCAGAGACTTGATGATGTTATTGATGCATATACCCTTGCATGGTATGACATTTATACGCATATACACGATATTATTATATTAAATAATTTACAAAGTTATTCAGATATACATGTTGAGTATTTTACTCTGGGTTTCTCTCATGTTTACTAGTTACTAATTTTCATTCCTTACATACTCGGTACATTTTATGTACTGACGTCCCTTTTTCCTGGGGACGATGCGTTTCATGCCCGGAGGTCCTGATAGACAGGTCGAGAGTCCTCCAAGTAGGCTATTAGCTCAGCGGAAGGTGTTGGTGCGCTCCATTTGCTCCGGAGTTGCTTCTTTGGTCAGTATAATTAGTACATGTATTGATTGGTATGGTGGGACCCTACCCCTACCTTTATGATATTATGTATTCTTAGAGGCGTGTAGACAGATGTCATGTATACAAATACTTGTATGGCCTTTTCCGCCTATGTTTCGAGTATATAAAGAATCATGCCGGTCTTATAGGCCCCTGCTTCATATGTATAAGTTTGTATTCCCTCATGCTTTACTCTGGCTCATTTACCTATGATAGAATGATATGAAAGATACGTTACTTATCTATACGGTTCACTTGATAATGAAATTTATATGAAAATCCCTGAAGGATTTAAAATACCTGAAGCGAATTCAAAATCTCAGGAAATTCATTCAATTAGATTACAAAGATCTTTGTACGGTTTAAAGCAATCCAGGCGCATGTGGTATAATCGCCTTAGTGAATATTTGCTGAAAGAAGGTTCATAAATGATGTTATTTTTCCATGTATTTTTATAAAGAAAATGGCATCAGAATTTGTTATACTTGCTGTTTATGTTGATGTCATAAATCTTGTTGGAATTCCAGAAAAGCTCCAAAAGGCAATTGAATATCTTAAGAAAGAATTTGAGATGAAAGATCTTGGAAAGACAAAACTTTATCTTGGTCTGCAGATTGAACATTTAGCAGACCGAATCTTTATCCATCAATCTGCCTATACAGAAAGGGTCTTAAAATGCTTTTACATAGACAAAGCGCACCCATTGGGTACAACAATGATTGTTCGATCACTTAAAGTAAATAAAGATTTGTTCCGACCTCCAGAAGAGGACAGGAACTCTTTGGTCCCCAAGTACCCTATCTCAGTGCAATTGGTGCATTAATGTATCTTGCTAATGCTACAAGGCCCGACATAGCATTTTCGGTTAATTTACCAGCAAGATATAGTTCTTCTCCTACACGGAGACATTGGAACGGGATTAAGCATATATTGCGATATTTAAAGGGAACTCTTGATATGGGTTTGTTTTATGCTAACAAAGATATTGCAGATCTTGTTGGTTATGCAGATGCAGGTTATTTATATGATCCCCATAAAGCTCGATCTCAAACCGGGTACGTATTTACATATGGAGGTACTGTCATATCATGGCGCTCCACAAAGCAATCTACTGTTGCCACTTCTTCAAATCACGCTGAGATAATAGCTATTCATAAAGCAAGTAGGGAGTGCGTATGGTTGAGATCAATAATTCATTTTATTCGAGAAAAATGTGGTTTGGAATGTGAGAAAAGACCCACAATTTTATACGAAGACAATGCTGCATGCATAGCCCAATTGAAGGGAGGATTTATAAAAGGAGATAGAACGAACCACATTTCACCAAAATTATTCTACACACACGACCTTCAGAAAAATGGTGACATTGATGTGCAACAAATCCGTTCAAGTGATAATCCAACAGATTTATTCACTAAATCTTTTGCCAACTTCAACTTTTGAGAAGATGGTATACAAGATTGGAATGCGAAGACTCAAATATTTGAAACAAAGTTTTCATCAGGGGGAGTAAAATACGCGATGCACTCTTTTTCCCTTACTAAGGTTTTTTCCCATGAGTTTTTCCTTATAAGGTTTTTAATGAGGCACATAGCAATGCGTATTACTAAATATGTGTACTCTTTTTCCTTTACTAGGATTTTTTCCCACGTGGTTTTTCCTAGTAAGGTTTTAATGAAGCACATTATCTTTTAATGAACATCCAAGGGGGAGTGTTATAAATATATTATATTATGGATGTTCATTTAGTACTCCGTTGTAAATAAGATTTCTAAAGAAGCTTATCCATATGGGACTCCGCCGTAAATATGTTTATCTATTTAGTACTCTATTGGAAATAAGCCTTCTGAAGAAACTTATCACTTCGGTACCCGGTTATGGATAAACATTACCCCCAGTAGAAGATTATCCATACCGGGTATAATAAGTTTATCATTTTAGTATCCGGTTATGGATAAACATTACCTCAGTAGAAGATTATCCATACCGGGTATAATAAGCTTTTCCTTTCAGTATCCGGTTATGGATAAATATTACCCCCGGTAGAAGATTATCCATACCGGGTATAATAAGCTTATCCTTTCAGTATTCGATTATGGATAAACATTATCCATGGTTACAAGATTATCCATACCGGGTATAATAAACTTATCCTTTCAATACTCCGTTATGGATAAACATTGCTCTTAGTAGAAGATTATCCATATCTGGTGTAGTAGCAGCTTATACAACAGCTTCCTTTCTTATATAAATAGAAAAAATTTCAGTTCATTATGTATATCAGTTGAATTCGAATAATATATCAGTCTCTCTATACTTGTATTTAATTTATGGTCTTTATTTTATGACAAAAGTCAAATACTACACTTACCATTAAAAAAATCTCATGTGAAAATATTTTATAAAAAAAAGAAGAAAAGAAAGAAAACAAGGAGAGCAAGCCATTTCTGTAGTTTGCCCCTTTCCTTATCAAATCCCCCTTTCCCTTTTCCAACGAATCTCATTCATAATTCAAAAAATAGGCACCGAATCTCACAACTGTCACCACTACCATTTGCATTAACCCCAGCTCAACCTTCTCCTACAATATAATACATATGCCCCAGATCTATTTTCCCAAGAAATGACATTTCCAATCATTATTTATGTAAGTTTTGCCTATACCCATTTGTGTCATTTGATCTTCTTGGGGCTAAAAATTTGATCTTTTTAATCAAGAACTTATTGGGTTGTTTTTTGTTTATTGATTTTTTTTTGTTTCAGGGGATATATAATGTGTGTTTGTGTATGTAGATCTTGAGCTGGAATTTTGAGAATTTAGAGTGTCAAATTGAGGGGAAAAGGGAAGGGGGTATATTTTAAAAAGAAAAATAAAAAGAATGGTTTTTTGGGAGGGTTATGTGAGTGATGAAGTGATGGGGACATTTGCCCCAATAGTGGTGTATTGGATATATGCAGGGTTTTATCAGCTATTGCCTCCCATGGATAACTATCGTCTTCACACAAGGAAAGAGGAAGATGAGAAGAATTTAGTTCCACTTGGTGCTGTTGTTAAAGGGGTTCTTCTTCAGCAGCTTGTTCAGGCCACTGTTGCTCAACTGCTATTCTTGGTATATTCCTCAGCTACTTATGGTTCTTGTTTCATGATATTTGTCTTATCTGTTTTGGTTGGAGTTCTTGATTAATTAGATAGCCGTGTGACTTGGTGGGTTAGGCCTGAAGGCAGGGGCGGAGCTAGGCCAAACCCAATAGCTTTTGTTCCAACATTGTATTTATGATAAAAGTTCATTAATAATATGCCAAATTTAGATTTAGAACCCAGTTATTAGCACATGAAGTCGTTCTAGAACCCAGAACCAGTAAAGTTAAATCCTAGCTCTGCCTCTTTAGGAATGGATAGGTAGAGCTTGAGGCATGCGAACGGCCCTTTTGTAGAAATGCAAAGAGAAGGTTGCATATGATATACATGCACCCTCCTCCTACGTCTCAAAAAAAGTTGGGAAACAATTTGTGCACGGGGTAAACCCCTTTATAACAAACTTGTTCTGATTGTATTGATGTCGGACTTCCAATTATAACTAACTTGTCGTTTGCATTTATAGTTATGAGGATAACTAAGTATGGAATGATTCTTCATGTGTTGCGCTCTATTTAGTGCAACAGTTATTCGATTTAGATTCTAGATTCTTCTATTTAATGTGCCAGTCAGCCTTAGCTTATGAAGTGATTACTTTTTGCATCGACAGGCGTGCTTTTCCCCCACCCCCTCCCATATTACACTCTTAGTTTTCAAACGCTTGAGTACATTGGATATTTGGTACGGTCCTTCTAAGAACATTGTTCCTCATGAAATTGATAGAAATGTAGTCAGATAGGAGGAAAGGAAGTGTAGAAAAAGTATCTAAGCATGGTAAGACTGACGATTATGTCATATTCTCATGAGCGAATGAAGCATTTAAGTGATGAAAGTATTTTGTTAACAAGTTAATGAATGAAGGGATGGTTGCTTCAATTCCTCCCCCCCCCCCCCCCC